GCACTAAGTTCCTAAAGGCCAAACTCAAGAAGTTCTACAAGCTACAATAAAGAGGTAATTCTATAATTCTTTTTTATGTTGATTATGTCATTTTCATGCTAGTTGTAGGCTTAATGCTTTGGAAACAATATTGCGTGTATAATTAGAGAAAACATAGATCCAAAGCATTTAGGGTTGTATATGCACCGTAGGATGTTGTAGTATATTAAAACCCTTCAATTAATCCACTCTTAAGTCGTGAAACCTTGTGCCTCACGCCGTGAGTCTCCAAAATGCAGGACAACAAGTCAATGGTCCCTCACGTCGTGATCCCCAACATCTCACATTGTAAGGACCCTTATAATGCAAAATAAATAAATGAATGAGTTTTAGTACCTTAGGGTTCCGGATGTTAAAAGTAAAAGGAATTCGAAGCCCTACATCAAAGGTTTTCGGATAAATGCCGACTTTCCCATGAGGAGGGGACAAAATCATCTAATCAGAAGCCGGAAACTCTACTCCGTTAATCGGAGAGAAACCATAAGCCTCTTGGAGAGTTTCAAACTTGGTAGCAGAAGGAGCGATACCGGGACAGCTGGCCATGAGAGTAGAAGAAGTTCTTAGAGAAGAGGATGGAAGGGCTAAAAAAAACGTGTTAAAAGATAACAGGAAATGGAGGATCGTTTATAATGAGGAAAAAGGGAGGGATATTCAAAATCCCTGACGTAGTCGATGTAACAAACAAGCAAGGCAAGCGGTCACGTCGCCGAAAAGACGGAAGTGTCTAGCATACCCCAAGGTGACACGTGTAGAAGCAGTTAAGTCCATAACATCATAGTTAATCTACTACAAAAACTACAACTACTGGACCGTGGGACTTGATAATGTGCACCATGGTATAGGCCAATAGTTACACCAGATACACCACCAGGCGGGCTACATGGCTGAGACCTTCCCGATTGTGGCCGCCCCAGGAAAACCTCGCACCCGCGGGCGTCTATCCAGCAAAACGCCGGTGCAAGAGCCAAGCCCCTGCAACAGACACTCTCCACTCCACGACAAATCTAACAGCTCCAGACGACAAGGAGTAAGCTCAGAGCTTTACCACTTGAGTCAATCGCTAGCTCCGACATAACAAGGAGCACGATTGGCCAATCAGAGCGCCCGATCATGTCAGGTCTGATGCCCTTGTCCCATGTACGGACTAACAAGAGACCTCAATATAAAATGTCTCATCCACCACCCCGGGAAAGTAAGTTAGCTCTATTAGATTCTACCACTCTCTTAGATAAATCACGGACTTGACAGTCGAAGCATTATTCCGAGACATCTTCTCGGAGAACGGTTGACGGCTTTCTTTCCTGCTGTGATCTCATAGATCATACCGAAACAGAGGATACCTTCAACCACCATTGTCGGAGGACGAGATATCATATATATATATATATATATATATATATATATATATATATATATATATATATATATATATATATATATATATATATATATATATATATATATATATATATATATATACACACACTAATCCTTTTATTTGTTTTGGTGGATGGTCCTATTATTAGCTTCTCATAAAGAGGTACTCAGCCACATATGAATATCCATTAGTTCAAAGACAAGTATATCTCTTATGAACAGTAACAATCATCTCAAGAAAGATGCATCGTTCCAACTTATTACATCTTAAAGGATATATTGTGGCTACTTAGTGCCCTCGCCCAGAACTCCAATTATTTGAAAAGCCTCCAAATAAAATAGAACAACATTCTTGATTCTTCTATAAACCCACTGGTATACAACCCAACAACAACTCCCCATAATCAAATTAATAAATAATTACCTCAAAGTATATGCTAGAAACTACTCCTCAAACATTATGAATAATGAAATACTATAATTAAGAAACGCTCAGAATAGGTAAACACACACATAAATTGAAATTTAAGTTTTTCCATCGTCAAAACGTAAATCATCTTCACAAAAGTTATTATTCTCGACGAGACACAATTGGAATTACTCGCTATATATACCCATCCCCCCCTTCTTTCTTTATAATGCATTTTATTCAACCTAAAACCAAAAAACTTGCAACAAAAAAATCATTAAATATCATTTTACTTTTACATAACCGCATTTTGTGTTGATCAATGGCGGAGTTAGCAGGGGTTGCAGGATGCTTGCGCCCCCCCCCCCCCGACATTTGAAAATCCCTTATCTATGTTTTATTTATATTAACGTGAACCTTATAATTCTATTCAACAGGTTAACTAATAATTTTACTTTTACTCATTTATTACCCCATTAAAAAGAAAACAACGATTTTACGAATATCTTGATAATAAGGTATGTTTTTTAATTGCTATTTAATTTTTAATATTTTCTTTATTTATAATTAATTGTATTATTATAATTGACAATTTGGTTTTTTATAATCATATGTTAAATCATTAGTAAAACGGAATCATATATATTTTTTCAAACAACAAGATGATGTTGGAGAATTATGAGTCATTGTTTATGGCCGGTTAAAGACTTTTGAAAAATGATTTTTATAATGATCAATGTAGCTTCTATCTTGTTAATTTCGATTTTATAATTTTTGATTCCGATTGATATTATATTATATTTTAATATATTATTACGATACGAGGCTCTCAGCCCCCTTAATCTTAAATCCTGGCTCCGCCACTGGTGTTGATGGATGAGCCAAACTGCAACAAAAATCAATACATGCAATTTTAGTTTTTAGTTTTTTATATGATGAAACCAAACAAATAAAAGTCATTATATTTTGTATAATTATCATAAAAGTCGCTATATTTTAGTTTTTCGTTTTTTAATGTTTTCTAGGAAATCAGTTGCACCTTTATGCTAATTTTCATTTTTTGGTTTTATGTTCAATAACATTGGTTTTTCTTTTTTTTACGTTTTCTGGTTTTTCAATTTTTTATCTGTTTTTTTATACTTATATTTATATTTTGACTGTCTGGTTTGCATTCAATAGTTAAATTCAATCATAGTAGATAACACCTTGGAGTTCGATGGTCATAAATTGAACTTTTCAATGGGTAAAATGAAACTTTTTAATCCTTAAATAAATGTCAAAAGAAAAAAATTTATATGTTTCTTTGAACTCTATATAATTAAATACATTACAAGAAAAATGATAAAATTGTATGAAAAATATAATGATGATTTGATAATCTATTAAATTATATAGTAATCAATGTTTCCGGAATGCCCTAAAAAGAATGCAAATTTAGTACATAACTATTATAATTATTCAAAAAAAACATAAGCAACATTCTTCAATTAACGAGCCGAAGGTTTTCCCTGTTAAAATCGGGCTTCATTAGGAATTGACTGTTGGTTCTTACATCTTCACCTTGATTATAAACAAAATTTATAGACTCATATAGTGTTTGTTTTTTGTTGACGATGTAGTTTAGACTAGCTCAAGGATATATTTAAAGTATATATTTAGAGTATCTGCAATCCACTCTTATTTTCCATTATTTTTTTCATTCCTTCCTCCATTCATATCCAATTTTACCTCATTTATTCCCTAATTTTAAGAGTAATGAATAGTATAGCACCATATTTGGTGTTATACTATTCATTTCCTCCAAAATGGGGATGAACTTTGAGTTGTCGATTTTAGTCCCTTTTTTTTATATATTTATACATTTATGGTTTTTATCTACTAATTATAATTTCAATGTAATATTTAATATTGATAATATTTGTTATATATTAAATTATATTAATTAATATAATTTAGAATTGGTGTGTTTGGCAATTGATATAACTTAAAAGAATGGAATATATTTTTTTGGGTAAAAATGAGATAAAAAATGAAATAGAGTTGGAGATTAAAATATTATTTACCTCATTTTTTACTTCATATTTGAAGGAAAAATAGAAGTGGGTTGAAGATGATATTTTAAAAAAAAAAAAAAAAAAAAAAAAAAAAAAAAAACACATACACACAACTACATATCAGCACTGCCAAGACGGAATTGCTATGTTGCAATTTTAGTGGGAATCAAACATGTGAAAGAATAGAAGTATGCATCAATGACCATCGAATTACGACGACAATAGTGATTGTGTGGATCCAATAGTTTCTAACAACTATAAAATGGACAACTTATACAAAAATTAATTAAATAATATAAATAAAATTGGTTGATCACAAAAACAAATTGATAAAAAAAAATATATTTTACCGTCAAAATTGTATTTAAATTGTAAAATTGATGAGTTGAAGTTTATTCGTCATAAAAATGGTCAACAAATGTGTTTACTATTGCCATGCTGATGATCAAGCTGGAGATTTGGAACTCAAAGTGTGAAACAAAGTTGTGAGTTGTGACCGAAGATCTTTTCCATTCATTTAAGCCCTTTTAACCAATGTTTTAAAACCCGGGTTTTTAGTTGACCCGGTATGATGAGCGGTTCACGGGTCAACCGGTTCAACCGGTTGAACCGTCGGATCAACCGGTTGAACCGTCGGATCAACCCGGTTTATGATCTTTTTCTATTTTTATATATTTTTATTTTCATGCATAATGCATAAACATATAAAACCAATAATTTAATGTCCACAAAGTTTAAATATTTAAAAACATTGAAGAAACCACAAACGGCTCGTTGTTTTGGCGTTCGCTACTTGTTTTCAACTATTCAAATCCTATTAAAACGGGTCAATCCGGTTTTAACCGGTTCGACATAAGCGGTTGAACCGCGGTTTAGAGGAAACCCGGCCGGTTCGATCCGGTTCGTATTTTTACAAAAAACCGGTCTCAATTGACCCGCCTTCTATCCCGGGTCACGGTCCAACCGGTTGAACCGGCCGGGTCAACCCGGGTTTTAAAACATTGCTTTTAACTCATTTGGTGATTTTGTTTCGATTGTTTCTATAGATAGAGAAAAGTAAGAAAACCAGAGTTTCAATGCATGGCATTAATACTTGGAGGTAATATTTTAATAAAAAAAATTAATTGATTAATGCATAGATGGGTAGTTATGAGTTACATTTGTTACTAAGGTGATTAATGATGGACATATTTTGAAAATAAATCACCTATTTATCCGACAAAATTGGCACATGCTAGCTAACAGGATTAATTTAATTAACAATATATGAACAATTAGTAAATTTGAAACGATAACACGAATTCAAGATTTTCTTGGAGTGCAACAATTGAACTTCCATAAATCCGTCATTAATCCGTCATTTTCGGGGGTTTCATCCCAAATCCATGCTTTTTGTTCTCAACTCTGTCAACACAAAGATAATTTTGACTTTTGACTTAGGGGGTGTTTGGATAAATAGTTTTTAGCTTATTAGCTTATTATTTATTTGCTTATTTTGGTGGGAATAAACATTTTTTTAAAATGTGTTTGGATTAGCTTGTTACGGTGGAAATAAGTAATAAGCAATAAGCATTTTAAGTGTTTGGCAAACAAAACAGCTTATATGAGTAAATTGACCAATAAGCAATAAACAATAAGTATTCCCCCCTTGCTTATTAAAATCAGCTTATTTAGCTTATTTCTACCGCAATAAACTGATTTTTAAAGACTCCTATCAAAACACTTAAATTTGTTTATTATGGTGGAATTAAGCAATAAGCAATAAGCAACCTATTTTTTCTCTATCCAAACACCCCTTTATTTTATGCCAAGGGTAAAATGGGAATATATATATATATATATATATATATATATATATATATATATATATATATATATACAAACAAACAAGAACTTACGTAGGGGCAAGTTTTCCGAGACATTGAAGCTCGCTACCGGATCCTTCCTGAAACACTCTCCCAGATATCTCAATTATGTAGGATCGATCTCTATCGGTTGGCAGCCCTCTGCTTGCAAGCAAATCCAAGTCCCTTTCATGCAACTCCCGCCCATTCACAAAAACACCTGTATGCCCATCAGCACACTTTTCAGGCATCATGTAATTGAATTCTTCGATATATGGCTGCCAAAACAAAATGAACAACTAAGTTGCAATTTTGGTCCTTATTTATCTTCTTTTTAATGTTTTTGGACTTTGGTCCATGTTCCAAAAAATACCATATTTTTGAGACAAAAATTGCAAAAATCAACCTATACTCAGGACCAAAAATAGTCATTTTACTTGAAACCGGAACCAAAAACATTACAAGAAGCTCAAATGTAGACCAAAACTGCAAGAGAAGTTTTTGGAACCTAAGAAAAAGTCCGCTACACTCATGGACCAAAAATGTAATTTACTTCTTAAAAACAAAATTCTCAATATTTATATATTTTAACCTGTGAGGAGTTGGGGATGGAAAGAAGAGAAAATGGGTAAAGGGCTAGTGTCTTAAAGCAATAAGCCGTTATTTTTTTGGGGGGTTTAACCCATTAAGTCATTATGTACGGGTCAAGTCAAAAAGACACTGCCAATGTATAGCTATCAAGATTAATTATTTTTTTTTAAACGGCAAATCTAAACTATTCCTTAAATCCACCTATGTCCTCGACGAGAGTTGAACCCTCAACTTCAAGGAGGAAGGACAACACCAGATTAATTGATTATTAACCCTTAAGCTAATATTTAAGTTTCTTTTTGACTTAATGTAGAAAAAGAACGTTTTAATAAATAAAGCCGGATAAATGACACTTTAAATTTTTACCAATGCATTAAGTCCTAACTCCTCTAACAAATTTGCAAAAATGACTCACAAAAGAAATTACCGGAATTATGCCACGACATGGGCCACCCATCATGCCCCAGAATCCAGCTCTGGAATCATACCTGGTGCAACAAAACAAACAAGAACTCCATCAAAACATGTTGAACATTTGTGTGTTTTAATTTCATGCAGGACTTACCAGTAATCCCCTGGTTGTATCGGTCCAGAAATCTTTTCAGCTTTCTTGACCACCCGATCAGGCAACGGATGCCCGTTGACCGTAACGTTGACTTTTCCAGGGTCAACATGATCATTAGATCTTGAAAGCTTGAAGCTTTTCTTGATCATACCCAACAAGAAAGATTCATGTCCTCCTGTATCATCTTGTTGATCCAAAGATTCTTGAGATGTACCATTGTTAACACTATACTCGTTTGACGAAATCCTGATCTCAGTGGCAACATCTTTCATGGAGCTTTGGCGGGAAACCGATGCTGAATAATCAAAATGATCTTCAAGTGAAGATTCGGAAGGTGGTGAAGATAAACTTCTATCTAACCATTTGAAATCAAAATCACCCGAAACATCAAAATCATTGGATGAAAACTCCATGGTATTGACACGCCATTTATGCATATTTTCTTTGTTAATTTTACCACCGATCTTCTCAGGGTTGCTAACGAGCTTCTTGTCGACAACAGAAATCAAGATCACTTGAGAGCACGTTGCACATCTCAATTTCTTTAGAGTTTTTCCATAGCTTTTCGTGGGTATTTCAAGCAATTCAAAACAATTGCAACAAGCTATAAACGGAGAGCCGCCAGCTACCAGGCGGCACCGCCTCCCTCCGGCAGCTAAAATCCGTCTCCGGGGACGATGAAGGTTACCTGACCACTGTGTGTAGGGTTTTCGATAGTCATGGCGGTAGTGAAGTGGTGGTGGAGGGCGGGGACGGTGGTGATTGGTGTAGCAAATCAGACAAGAACATAAAGGATGGTGAAATTGCATACGAGTATCCGAATATTTAGTAACATATTGACTGGAAAAGTAAGGATGTTGATATGGGGATGGAATTGGAGGTCGTGATCTAATAAGATTGTTAGAAAATGAAGTTTTTTCTTTAGCCTGAACAATTTGATCCTTAAGTTCGTCTAATTTCCGTAAGATTTCATCTTGGTTAATCGAGGACTGAAAAGGTCTTCGTGAAGTGTTTATTTGGGGTTCCAAGTTTCCCGATTCACCATTTATGTTCAAATTCTCCATCTTTTGATCAATCTGCATGCTCTCGTTACATCTAAGATCATCTTGATTGAAGTCTAAACTTAAATTCTTTGTTTTCTGACTCGAGAAATTGACATTTTGTAATTCTTTAGACTTATTGTTTGAAACCCCATCGTTTTCTTCATTAGAAACTTTTGCTGAGTGGATGGGTTTACGGCTTGCTGTTAATAATAAAAACAATATAACCCAATACGATTAGTTTGCTGGGAAACTAAAAAAACTCGGATCATGCAAAATTCCATATACAATATGAAAACGCAACTGAAAAAAAAAACTATCAAAATTTTCACAGAAACATACAATTTTCGCCCAAAATCACCTATGCATAAAGCAATCATCAACAACACATAGTGTAAATCAAAGTTCGTATATTAGGAAACCCTATCTGTAAAAAAACCTAATATGCTTTCCACAGAAAACATGTACGTTACATCCTAATCACATCTCTGAACGAAAAATTACATGTCATTAAACCCCATTCCAGTTTCTTTATTATAAAATAAAAATAAAAGAGAGGGGGGGGGGGGGGGGGGGGGTTGAAGAAATTATACCACGAAGAATAGCGCCACAACCACCACACTGATAAACAGAGTAATCAGTAACTTCAGGCAGCAGACTTTCACATTTAGGACAGCGAACCAAGCAAACCTCCGCTGGGGTTTCAGACATTTTCTTGCTCAAAGATCAAATATTTCTGCAGAAAGATTGCGATACACACATTTGCGTGTGCTTAATGTTTGAACAAAGAGCGAATCAAGATTCTTTTCTGAGAGTGAATAAAGATTCTAGAAAAGAAGCCCATGAAAGACACAAAATTATATTTCCGAGGGAGAAAAAGTAAAAAAGATAAAAATAAAATAAAAAATAGAGCTAAAATGTTATGCTTTTCAGCTGGAAGTGGGGGAGTGTGGTACACAATTATTAAAAATGATCCTTAACTTTGAAAAGATTACAAAATCTGGGTATTTGAGGTAAAACTTTTCCAAACAAATTTAGAAAAAGTTATCTACATAAATGGTCCTTTGCTTGTATGATTGTTCACTTTCAGTCCAGTTATATTAACTATGTCTGACTTGTGGTTCTATTTTGTTACGATGATGGTCGGCAACCATACAAATTGATTAAAGTTACGTTAAGTTATAGAAAAACAGTTGTTATTTTTTATTTTTCGTTTTTATTTTTCACTTTTCGATTTTAGTTTTCATTGTAAAATTTAGAAAACATATTTAGTTAAAACTTATTTATTTTTCATTTTCAGTTTTAGAAAATTAGAAAATATTTTTAGATGTGTATATTTCTATCGTTTTCAGTTTTAGAAGTGGTAGCGATGATAAAGTTGGGGAGGGGGTGGGGGTAGGGGTAATAGTGGTATCGGTAATGACGTCGGTGGTAATGGCGGTGGCGGTGGTGATGACATACGTGGTGGTGGCGGCGGAAATTATGGCAGTGATGGTGGTGGTGATGTTAGTGATGGGGTAGTGTGTTATGATGGTGATGGTAGGTCGGTGTATGTGTTTGTAGGGTGGGTTTGAGAGTGGGTGGGTATGGGTATGGGTAGGTACGGGCATGGTGAGTTGGGAGTGTTAATATATGGGTAAGTAGAGGTGGGAGTGGGTGTATGTTCATATTTTAGAAAAAAAAAAATTGAATTAGAAAAATATGGAAAACAATGATTATTGAGTTTTCAAAATTTTCCAACTTCTTTGTAATTTTAAAAAACAAAAAATTTTCATTTTCTGTGAAAAATTTAGAAAAATAGACAAACTAAACATGTTTTCAAAATTCTTTTTTTTTTTTTAAATTCCGAAAAACAACCCATTTTCCGTAACTAAACGCAACCTAAATTACCCACACCTATATATATATATATATATATATATATATATATATATATATATATATATATATATATATATATATATATATATATATATATATATATATATATATATATATATATATATAACTTATTAAATTAACAAAACTTATAATTTTTATTGGTTCAAGTGCTTACAACAACCCACAAAAATGAAATTGGGTTTGGACAAAGCCCTTGAATATGTCAAGAAGAAATAACAACAATCTAGTTTCAACCATGCAAATGACATGTTTGATAAAATTTATGAGACAGAAGGGCTGGAATAATGGAGAATTGGATGCATTTTACCGGGTGAAGCAATTTCACTCCAAACTGAATGTTTGCTCAAATTATACAATAATTTACGTGTTATGTTAAATTAATAAATTCGAAATGGAGAAGTTTTTTCGAGCAAAGTAAATTGTCACAGTTTTGACGTGCATCATATACTTTTACTTATACGGTCTTGAATTGGTCCTTACTATAAACTTAGCCTACAAGGTATAACAAGGCTATTAGGAGGAGGATGTAGGAAGCTAGTCACATCTTCAGAATCATGTTGTTTAAGGATGTCAATCTCCGCATTGAAACATATATGAAACACCCCTGTTTTATGTTAAAATAAATTTAAAATCATTTTATCTTTTCAAAATCATCATTTGCGAAAAAAAAAAAGTATGTACGGTCCATAGTCTTTAAAATCATTCGAAAGTTTAGCAATTAACGGTTAATTAGTAAGATGGTGGATTAGTACGATATCATTACACAAGTTCAAATAAAACCACTACAACAATCGTGACCTTCTAAAATTCAAGTCCTCCTCTAAAGTTTCCATTCACTGCTATCACTTGAACAAAATATAGGTTAGAAATTCTAAATCACTGTAAGTAATATCGGGATTTCACACATTTGCACACAATGGATTGGCACATTCCTTTGACTAATGAGAAATCCCAAAAATCATTTTCAAAATCCTTTCATAAAATTAAGTCATTAATCAGACATAAAAGAATAGTCTTTAATTCATTGAAAACTCTTAAATCCTTAGTCCTTCATAGTCAATAATCCAGAAAAGTTAATTCAAACGTTATAACCATTATCTATCACACCCTCGGACCTGGCAGAAACGTTCGGTGGTGGATGACTTTCATGTATTGTATCATAACAAATGCATAATAGTGACCAAAGCGAACAAGATCATCATGTATATAATTGAAAATTTTACATCGTTGTAAGTGTTACATGTTTCAAAAGTCAATTACAATATGATGACAAAAGATTTGTTTGACTTCTTAGTGCCTCATCCTCAAAAACTGGTGGTTACCTGTTTTAAAGATTCTTTGAGAATACAAGTTGTTTGAAAATGTGTCAACAATTTAGTTGGTGAGTTCATAAGAGTTTGTATGAATAATTGTAAGCCTTTCCGTATAATATAATCATGTTTGTTTCCAGAAAATCCGATATTTTACATAAAATGAGTTGTAGTCTTAAATGTTCCAAGACCGAAATGTACCGATATTTTTCATACTTAAAATAGTAATATATAGTTTTATTCGTATATAACACCGTTTGAAGAAATGTGTTTTCGTGTAAAATAAACATATCGTCGTTTCCCCATGTGAGTTTTCATAACCGTGCTAAAAATGAATTGTCTGCCGCGACGTTCTTCAGGCATCAAAGTGTTTATGACATTTATCACCCATAACCTGCCGGTCTAACTATAGCTAACAGTTAGGGTGCGGGATCATCAGTCCCGTATAGATCTATACACAAGTATCACGCTCTCCAATAGGAGACTCTGTTTATAAAATAAGACTTTCGCGTATACCTTGATAGTACGTTGAAGACAATGTTTCAAATTTATTCAACGGGTTTACGTGTTTTGTAATGAAAATGTTTGTATATGTAACTATCCCTTTTTACGGGATAATAAAAACGGCGTAAAATAATTATATATGTATTTTTATATAATTATACACTTTACTCAACGGGTTACAAAAATGTTAAAAGTTCATAAACTATATTTAAATAGCTTACAAAAATGTTAAAAGTTCTTATGATATATATATATATATATATATATATATATATATATATATATATATATATATATATATATATATATATCATAAGAATAATATAGCGTATTTGTAGTCGTTTTTCATAGCTTTAGGTTTTTATGAAATCTTTGCATGTAAAAGTTCACAAGTTTGGTAGTAAATCTATTTCATATATTTAGCACTTTTTCTCAAAAAATAAGAAAATGTATTTAAACATTTGTATTTTAACGTAAGTTTTCTTGTGTTTACTTGTATCCCCACCCCCACCCCCCTCTAGAACCATGGAAAAAGTCTCGAAAAATGTATAGGTATAAACTCACCTTATGTGTTTTCCTTGATGAGTGGAAGGTTGTGGATAAGGAGTTTCAAGTCAAGAACACTTGAAAGAAACTTGGAGATTTGATGGTCCTAAGGACATTAATAGGACATTAGTACGTGAATATGTGGGTAAGAGGTTCAAGATTTGTTTAGAAGTATGTAAAATCATTAGAGTTTGAAGGAAATACTTACCAAAAGATTCCAAGAACAATCTTCGGATAATCCTTGCTAGAGAGAGAGTGAGAGTTATTCTTAGAGAGTAAATGTGAATTAGTGGAAGAAATGGTGAAAATGAAGAACAAACTAGTAAATCGTGGGTTATAAAGAAGGAATAAAGCAAATGGATAGGAGGAGTAATGAGGGGACAAGGAATGACCAATGGGGTTTTGAGATGTGACATAAATGTGTCTTGGAAAAGATGAAGACCCACTTGCTATAAAATATTTTAATGATCTTTACATATTATTTTAAGTAAATGTGTGTTTTATATAATAAAGCTTCAAGATGTGCTTAAAATATGAGTTTAGAGGATTTAAGATGTGAGAAATATGAGTTTGATGGAAATCCCGACGTCAAAATCCCTTAAAATGAAGAAAAGTCTGAAATTGCCAAAATTTCGAAGTGGAGTCCCAATTGGCAAGGGGTTCGGAGTCAGTCAGCAGGTCTGGAGTGGGCATCCTTCCGAGACTGCAAGATTGTCCGGTGCGAAATCTTCTAGAGTCGCTTGATCTTCCGAAGTGAGCTGTTTCCGGAGTGTAACCTTCCGAGATGCGAAGGATTCCGATTTTGAGATGGTCCGAAGTCAGGGAGGTTTCCTGAATAGCAAGAGAGGGTTCCGAAGTCAATCAAAAGTTTCGGAATCAGAAGGTTCCGAGATCAGGAGGTTCCGGGGTGAGAAGTGTTATTATTTTTTTTTTGTTATCAATGGAGATTTGAGAGATATTTGGGAGAGAATTGAGATATATAGAGAGATTTGGGAGAGATTTGAGATAGAGAGTGTTTAAAGAGAGAGATAGATATATTTTGTATTATAATTGCAAGTCGTACATTAGGAAACCTAGCTTTTGCCTTGAAATCTTAATGCTAGTTGTAGAGATGGCAAAAAAAAACCCGTACCCGATGGGTACCCGAAACCCTAGCCCGAGTTGAATGGGTAAAACCCCCGAGTTGACCGGAGATGGGGACGGGGATGGGTATTACCCGAATATAAAAAGCGCGGATGGGGATGGGGATGGTTCTACCTGTCGGGTACCCATACCCGTACCCGAAACCGGCCCCGATGGGTACCCGATATATATATATATATATATATATATATATATATAATATATATATATATATATATACTATTACACTATTACTTATGTTTTTATTTTTAATAATGCATAAGCAAATTTTCAGTACACAATGTAAGGTTTTTTAACAATCAAACG